AGGGGGCGCCGAGGGTAGAACGGGAGCACAGGATGGAACACCAGAAACAACTCGAAGCGTCACGTGAGCAGGAAGAGGCTACCGCCAGCCTATTAGAGCAAATGAAGGGCGACCTTAGAAAAGAACAGGAAGGGCGGACCAAGCTCGAGCAGCAGGTAAAGGAGCTAATGGCCTCGAGTGGTGTGAAATGGAAGGCGTGGGTAGCGGAGAAAAAAGCAACAGGCGGGAAAGGAGGCCAGGAGGCCGCAGTGTCTGGCCACAGCATGGAGGCTCCGAGAACATACAGCTCGGTGGCACGGCAGTCTTTGAGCAGGGCAGGAGCACAGGACACACGGCAGAGAGAGAAACAGGTGAAGCAAACGGGGGCGCCGTCACAAATAGGAAGCCAGCGATTGGAGCGTAGAAGGGTTCTAGAGATGGGGGACTCTAACGTGGCCAGGGTTAGGCATGGCGTCCTCACGTCAGTGAAGGAAGATGGGAGATTGAGGGTGGAGGCCTAGTCAGGGAAGTGCATGGTGGATGCACTGGCCAAAGCTCAGGAGGTTGTAGAGGACAGCATGGAGGGGGAAAATCTCATCATTATTCATGCTGGTCTTAATGATGTGCTGAAGGGAAAGACTCGGAACCTTCAGAGACAATTAGAGGGTGGGATGCATAAACTCCGAGATGCCTCTGGGAGTGTGCATGTGAGCACAGTCCCAGAGGTCTGGGGGCAGTCTGGTGGGATTAAAAGGAGGGTAGTGGAGGCCAACTTTGCCATCAGGGGTATGAGCCGGCAGCTCGGATACAGCGTAATGAAGGTGAACCAAGACATATAGGAGCCCAGCGCTTGCCCCTTTGCTCAAGATGGCATTCATTACAGTGGTGCGATGGGCAGCAGGGTTGGTAATATGATAGGTCGTCAAGCCACAGCTTTTTTAGGGGGACCCACAACCCTGAGGCCAACAGTGTACCCAAAGATGATTCTAAAGGGACTCCAATATTGAAGCCACATGGGGTCCATGGGAGAAGAAATCGACGTAAGCACAAAGGCCGAGCTGAGTCAGACGTAGGCTATATTAACATTCAGGGTGGCAGAAATAGGTTAAAGTGGGAAGAGATGGAAGAGCAGTCAAGGCAAGAAAAGCTGATTGGTATACGGGGTTGTGGAGACACATCTTGGGGACATGTAGCAACCACCTTGCAATCCGGACTACGTATGGGAATATTGCAATAATACAGAAGGCAGGAAAAAAGGGGGTGGAATTGGGGCATTTATACATTAAAGTATGGGTTGGCAAAGAGTCGAGCAGGGATGCACGGAACATTTATGGTTAAAAGGGAAAGTAGCTGGGCAGATGACACTCCTTGGTTTGGTGTACTTGTGGACAGGAGCAAAGGCCAGAGAGGAAAACCAGGTAATAGTGGAGTGTATAACAAATGACAATGAGGAATTAGGAGAAGAGTGCAAGATAATTATACTAGCAGATATGAATGCACACATCGAAGATATAGATGGCTATACTGACCCAACAGGCAAAATGATCATGGATATGTGTGAAAGGCATGATTTGATCATTTGCAACAGTACTTAGAAGTTTGAAGGGCGAATAACATGGGAGGTAGGAAGGCCGCAGTCGTCGATAGATTATGCACTGATGTCACATAAGATGTATGATAGGCTCAGGAGAATGCACATATATGAATGTGGCACCAGAAGTCTGGGTAGTGATCACCAATGTATCAAGCTAAGTTTTGGAAGAGCAATGAAAGTGGGAAGGAGACAAGATGAGCAATTACAAGGGAATTTTTATTCAGAAAGGCAAATAGAAATAGCTATTAAACAAATCGAGAAAGTAACCACTGAGAATAATAAAAGTGTGGACATACACTAATCTAATTAGACTGTTTGAGCTAGAGCTTACTAAGGCACGTGACAAGTCACCTCAGAAAAGGAGACACAAACCTAAGAGTTGGTGGGATGAGGAAGTTATGAGAGCCATAGCAAAACGTCTGGAAGCCTCTAGGGAACACAGACATGCTAAGCAGCGGGGTGGAGAAAGAAAATGGGACATCTTTCTAAGCTGTAGAAGGCAAGCATCCCTTCTGATAAATGAAAAGATTAGAAGAAAGGGGGCTCAGTGGCTGGCAGAAGTACATAAAAAGGATAGAAAGGCAGCTGCAAAGTTTTGGAACCATCTAAACTCCCTAAGAATTGAGGCAAGCCTAGAGCAGAGGTTTATAACCACAGCCCAAGGTGTTAGGTGAGAAGGGGACAAAGCTATTGAATATATAAGAACAAGGGTGACAGAAAAATTTCAACAAAGAAGCGCCTTGTGCACCTTAATAGACTAGGATAGATCAAGTGGCGCAGTGGCTCCATTTTCACAGCGAGAGTGGAATAGGACTGAGAAGAGGGTTCCTTGTACATAGTATATCAACAGGCCCTAATGGCATCTTAATTATGCTGATAAAGGCATTGGGTGCCAAGTATAACCAGACTTTCAGAGAGGCAGTGAGCAAAACAATAATCGATGGTGAAGTCCTCGATGGATGGAAACCTAGCAGAATGAGCATAATCTATAAATAAAAGGGCGACAAAGCTGACATGAACAGCTACCGTCCTATAACAGTGATATCAGTGGTCTACAGGCTGGTGATGCAAATTATGAAGGAAAGACTGCAGGCATTGATAGAAATTGAGAAGGTGCTGGGGGAACTGCAGAATGGGTTTCAGAAACAAAACAGACTGGAAGGCAATTTGTTCTCACTGACGCAGTGCATCGAAATGGCAGGAAAGGAACACATGCCCCTGTGGCTAGCATTTTTGGATATCAAGAGAGCGTATGATAGCGTGGTTCAAGAGGACTTGTGGGGAATACTGGACACACTAGGTGTCGAAGATGGAGTCACTAATCTTATAAAGGATATGTATAAAAGTAACAAGGTAGTTATATAATCGGAAAAACAGGTATCCAAGTCCACAGAGATAAAACGGGGGCTTAGGCAGGGGTGTCCTCTGTCACCCTTGTTATTAATGATTCACCTACAAGGATTAGAGGCCAAATTATAGAGGGGAGTGGACTTGGCTTCAACCTCTCTTTTGTCGAACAAGGAAAACTCATTGAACTGGCACTACCAGCATTGATGTACGCAAATGATATAGTTCTAATGGCTGACAACAAGGAAGATTTGCAGAGATTGATGGACATCTGCGGTAATGAGGGAGATAGGTTAGATTTCAGATTCAGTAAGGAAAAATCAGCAGTCATTATTTTTAATGACAATGAAGATATAGTGAGCTTAGAATACAGGAGGTCACGCTAGAGATAACAGATACATACAAATATCTGGGCGTATGGATAAGCAATGGGACCAAGTACCTTAGGGAACACGAAATATATGTGACGACTAAAGGTAACAGGAATGCAGCAGTGATCAAAAATGGGGCACTGTGGAATTACAATAGGTATGATGTTGTGAGAGGAATATGGAAAGGGGTCATGGTTCCTGGGCTGATGTTCGGCAATGCGGTCTCATGCATGAGATCAGAAGTTCAAGCAAGATTAGAAATTAAGCAAAGTGGAATAGGTAGACTTGCTTTAGGAGCTCACGGGAATACAGCAAATCAGGGAGTGTAAGGTGATATGGGATGGACATCATTTGAGGGCAGGGAAGCTAGCAGCAAGATAAAATTTGAGAAGCGATTGAGAGAAATGGGGGAGGAGCGTTGGGCTAGGAAGGTTTTGAGCTACTTGTACATGAAGAATGTCGATACAAAATGGAGGAAGCAAACCAGGAAATTGACTGGTAAATACTTAGAAACAGCAGGTGGCCAAACCAAAAAGAACTATCAGTTAAGAAGAAAGTGAAGGAAACGGAGACTGACATGTGGAGAATGGGCATGATTAAAAAGTCCGCACTAGAGATCTATCGAACTTTTAAGCAGGAAATTGCCAAGGAAAATATCTGTGATAATACTCGGGGTAGTTCTTTACTGTTTGAGGCCAGGACGGGACTATTGAGAACCAAGACATATCGGGCCAAATACGAAGGGGTAGACACAGTATGCAGTGCGTGTGGAGAGGAAGAAGAAACTGCCGAACACTTGATAATGTTTTGTAAAGGGCTTCACCCTATAGTTCAGGATGATGGCGCAGAGTTTTTCAAAGCACTGGGGTTTAGGGACAGGGAGGGCAAAATAGCCTTAAGCGGGTAGACTTAACTAGAAGGAGGTCATCTGATTGGTGGCTAAAGTCAAGGCACGAGTGAAAATTGAATCCTTCACTGCAACGTACGAATCCTCAACCTCGCTATTTAAAGAAAAAAAAAGATAAATTTAATGGTTAGTTCACTAAGTATTACGGCTAGGTAACGTTAGCCGCTGCCCGATGTAAAGGGTACAGCCACATCCATGGAACGGTGCTGGAATGTAATGTCGCAACCGGGCCACAGAACACCTTCATCCTAGTTCAGGATGATGGTGCAGAGTTTTTCAAAACACTTGGTTCTAGGGACAGGGTGGTCAAAATAAACTTTAAGCGGGCAGAAATAATTAGGAGGTTATCTGATTGGTGGCTAAAATCAAGGCACAAGTGAACATTAAACCCTTCACTGCAAGGTGTTCTGTGCTAGCCACTGTAACTAGGTTGCCGCCAAGGTATTGGTCCCCTTCATCCAGCGGACATTCTAAGGACTAAACTAGAGGTGGCTACTACGACGACGACATGACACATACGACCCACGGGCCTAGCTTCGCCCCTAAAACGGATTTCGCCTCACAGCTGTGTTGTCGAGAAGCACGGGTGTACGGTAAGCGCGGAAACATTTAAAAAGGAAGTAATGCACATACAAGTAACGCAGATTGGTGTAAGTGATATGTTGCGCAGCATTGCAGTGACTGCAGCTTGCGTCACTTGTGCGCAAGCAACGACGAAAAACAAGTGCTGGCACTTTGCCACTTTAGCCGGCAAAAGTTCGGCGTCTGGTAACTCTGGGTTGCGCTGTGTAGGAAAGCACAGCTCGTCACGCGGCGGTAGACTGTAGCGGTAGTTGAAGTTACAACGATTTAACGTCACAATTTATAACGTCGTAATTGCGCCGGGCGCTTTGTCAATTCCCGGCTGAGAAATGACGTTATTCGCTGTGACTGCCTTGCATCAGTGCGACGCAGTGAAGTGAGTGCTGAACGAGTTGAACTATTGCCAAGATCTCCAGGCGACGTCCGCTACTGCCTGTGGTGTTCTCAGTTGCGGGGAGTTTATTTTCTTCTGCCTTTTCTGATGAGTGCGCGTTGCGGGACCTGCAAGGAAAACATAGCGGCCGAGGAATTCGAAGGCTTTTCTTGGACAGGCCTGGCACCGTTCACTACAGGCGCGAGGATCAGGAGACAGCGCACTCCTGCCGTCGAGAAACCAGGTCATGTCTTCGTTCTCGGCGGCTACGAAAGTGTTCGGCGTGTCCCTTCTCGCCGTGCCAGCGACGTACTCGTTTAACGTGGTGGCCCAGCTACTCAAATGGGATAGCGCCTGGCCCGTATGTTTGGGCGTAGTGGTGGTGCTTGCGGCGGTAGCCGGCCTCTTATTTTGGGCCACTGGAAGGAAGGCCCCGTTGGCGGGCGGCCGAAAACTTGAACAGATATGGTTCTACGGTAAGTGTGACATCTCGACTTAATTTACTTGAGCACCAGTCCTTACCCTGTTTCATTGCGTCATTTGTCAACGCGGGCAGCCGTTTGTTGCCTCAATCCGACTTCACGCTCTGTCGCGCTCACCCAGGCGATCTTGCGTCGGCAGGTGCATGCGCGAAACTTGTTTGTGTTTTCCCTGCTAGGCGACAGCACATGCCTGCCCATTGCGTCATTGGGCGTGTCAACAGAGCCCTCCTGTCGGGTACGTGTGTTGTTGCACGATATAAACAAAAAGTGGGATTGTCAACAGCTACGGCGATTCGAAATTCCAAGGTACTCGCCACAGGAATGCTTTGATTAATTGTGGCATTCGCTAACTTGCTCGCTGTTGGCATTTCGTGTTCAGTTTGTTGCTTGCTACTTGCGCATGCATTTGTCATAATTAATCTTTTCAGTAATACATGTTTATTCCTGATTACTTACTGCGCAGCCTTGGCGATATCCGCATTTACGAGTGTGGCATCCCTTACCGTGGGCCTTGAGCTAGACGGAATCATATCAGGTTTGTGTCTGCATACAATTAAAATAGGTTGTCACCACTGTTTGCGATGTGTAATATTAATTAGTTTAATATCAGTTTTTTGCTAATTATGGCAAGCACTGTACTGTAGAACATTAAACCATTGAATAAATGAAACTGGCACGCCTTCGAAAGCAGAATACTCTTGTACAATGGGCAGATTTACAGCGTCAGTATGCATGTAACTCAGACCAATAAAACTTGCTGTCGTAATTTTGTAGGATTACTGTGCATTGCCACGCAGTACACTTTTGGCAGTGGGGACCATGGCTGCCCAGTGCAACCGTGGAATGTTTACGGCAGGGAAATAAGTTTCCGTTGCTTGTTATTAATGATATGCCAGCCAGAACAATAATTGTCTATACATATGTGTTAATTGGAAAGCACTCTTTTCTCTGACTGCTATTCCATTTCGTTTTTTTTTATCAAATTGTCTTAGCAGTGAAATAAGCTATGGACAAGCACAAACTTTAGGAATGTACTTTGCGCCAAAAGGTTTGAATAGCAGCAGTGCATATTTCATAATGGTGCTGCGATGCGAGTGCAGGTAACTGTAGCAATATAGTGTTACTGTTACGATTGCATCATTTGGTCATGTTATGCTCTTAGGTCTTTAAGAGCTCTCTTCTTTGTAAAATCATGTTTGTGTAGAGCCAGTGCACTATTCCAGCACTAGCAACCATTGTCACAGTGAACAGTGCGAAAGATGTACTTCTCATAAAGGATTACTTTCCATGTGTGCTTCCAGAAAACAGTTCCTTTAGAGACCACAAACTGGAAACTAACTGAGAAGGGGATCCCGCAATGCAAGTGTTGAGAAAATGGAGTGTATTGGTGTGGTTTTACCGTTACTGTTGAAAGATCTTATGACGATGCCATTGTATGGCAACCCTAACTGTGAGCTGCATAGCTTTGAAATTGAAAGGACCATCCATTACTTCGCCATTTTTTGTGTGCGGGGAACATTCACTTATGTTAAAAAAACGGGGCGTGGAGATGCTGAGGAGTCAAGGCAAGGCCCGTTTGTCTTGACTTCACTTTTGTGTCTGTGTTTGCACGCTCTGTCTATTTCAGAAAAAATGTCTGCTCTCTTTCTAAACATATGGAGCATCCGTGGTAATTCAATGCGTTTGATTCACTGTTTTTGCTTCAGGCTTTGTGAACGTGTACCTGAAGGTTGGGGAGCCGTACCTGCGGTGCAGCCATGGAGCCATGGCCTCATACTGGCATGGGACTGTGATGTATGCCATGCACCTGATGATGTTGGCTGCACTGACTTGGGAGTAGGTAAACATTGTGGTTGCTGGAGTGAGCTTTTAGTATGTTCTTATGCGTGCTGCCTTGCCCTACTGTTTGTAATGATAATCCATGGCAGATCTGTGTCCTGCTTTACAGGTGACCAAGATGGGCATAGGTTCAGTCGGTAGCCATAGCAGTGAAAACTTAATTGAAGTGAAAATACAACAATGCTTTATTAGTTATGTTCTGGTGTATTTTAAAGAACCCCAGGTATAGATGCTCTTTGTTGGATTGGTCACTTACAGTTCGTGTTTAGCAGCAAGAGATTTTTTTTGTGTACAAAAATACTGGTACAGATGTTCAGAGCAAGTGTAGAACCTCTGAAAAAACATAACATTAATTCAGAAACAGAGAAGCACTAGTAGTTTAAATGTTTCAGCAATTTGATGATGATCAATAATATTGGGGACCTGTAATAAAGTTCTAATTGAGATTTATAGCAGCTGCCTGTGGGCCATCAGATCGTGAACCATTACAATGACTAATGATTTTGCTCATTAACCTTATGAATAATAACACTAGGAACTTGCTACAGGAAAAGAATTAAGGAAAGTATTAACTCTGTACCAACTCTGATTTTGTTGGAATTCATAGGCAACACGGAAGTGCTTTTATTATAGGCAACTGCTGAATCGATTTCACTAGTAAATGTGGTGGTTTTTAAAAGAGAAAAGTGAATTCGTTTATCTTTCAGAAGCTGAAAATGTACGATTTCATTTTTTACAGTGGTAGCCAAAATTAATATATGTAAAAGAAGCAAATATTAAGCTTAAATATCTGCAAGTGTGCACCAAGAACGAATATTGCAGTTATGGAAACTGTATTTGTTATACCCGGGTCACACGTAGCAACCCAATTGTGCTTTGAGTGAGTGCACTTTGCCGAGAGTGTCATTTCACACGGTCACACAAGAACGTTTAGTGTCATTCGCAGCAAAGTACTGTGGGGTCTCGTAGTGGCGAGCGCCACGCTATTGGAGTGAACGGACACAGTAGACGCGGTCGGAAGAAACCCCACAACACACCTTTGTTCAACTACTTTTTGATCGACGATATTGTCAGCTGAATTATTATAACATCAATTGGGATCAACACGCTAGAACATCCTTACACATAATTATGCAACACTCAACATCATAACAAATACAATAACACACCCAAGGCGGTGTTGCCAACACTTGACTTACCACAAGGGCCCCCGGGGCGCAACCTGCGATGTTGGGCACGAAGGTCCCACCGTTACAGACAACCGTTCGGGTCCACCGCCACACGCCAAGGAGAACCGCCCATCCCACGTGCACCGCCACCCGGGCTCCCCGCCAGGTGTCACCGCCGGCACTACACACTAACCATGATGATGATAGTGATGACAAACGCTCGCGAGCACAATGCCACCCACCGCTCAGTAGTTGTGAACCCGAAATGCGGCCTATGCGCAAAACACGTGCATCATGAGGTGCAAACAACTTTACAGGGGGTGTTAGCAACCCCACAGTACCTACTCTTGCCAGAAGGTGCCTTCACCAACCTTTAAAAAATTTTTTTTGCCAAATTTAAAAATAAAACTTCAACCTTGATTTTCTCCGCTAATAATAAACTCATGATGGTAAAACAAAATAAATGGGATTACAGTTCTGAGAGTGCAGTATATCAATCTAACCAAAGTTTTTGTTTCTCTTTTGTGTCCCTTTCAGTTACCTCCTCTGACAGGGATATTATAGCATCTTATCTTTAGTGACCTGATATATAGGCACTAAAAATCGGGTTTTAGGCACCAAAATTTGGCAGACAAAATGCAGTTTTAGGCCCCCAAAATTATAAATGCAGGCACAATAAATGTTTACAAAAATTTAAATTTTCGAATAAAACACCTGTGACCTGTAGGATAAAAGAGTAAAAAAAGTCTCAATTTATTATTGTACAAAGGGGCCAATGGTTTAGCATAGCCATGCAATTTTTTCCCACGGGGTTCACAGAACTAGGTTTCTCCTTTTATTATCCAGCATGGTGAGTTAAATGTCTACTGCGAATAAACACGCTTCTGGGTCTTTCCCTTTTCGACATGGCTGAAAAGGGCAGCACAGGAGCAAATAGTCAGGCCACTATAAGAGTCTTTTAGCCTCGCGTGAATTGGGTCCAATCACACAGGATTCATATCTCCTCTGTTTGTGAACTCCTTAAGGGCCCCTCAGCAGGTATGACCACTTCTAACAGGCAAGAGAAAAGCATGCACTGGGCGCTTACGATCTTGTCTGCCAAGATTTGCAATGCTGCATGCCCCAGAAAGAAGCGAAGTGTCAGGCTGAGTGCAGCTTGCCTTTCATCTCACGGGCGTGCACTCCAACATGATAGAAGTGTTGTACAACAAGGAATGGTCCTGTGTACGTCTAAGTAGTACGTGACACTACAGATTATTCAATGTGGCATGTGTAATTCGGGCAATCTGTTGCTAGAAAAGAAGTTTGGAGGTTTATAGGAATATTAACGCATGCAAATGGAATCTGTGTGCATTACTTTCTTTTTACTTTGCATCGAGCGAGAGGTGAGACTAAACTACCTCTATTTCGTTTGCGTTCATGTTCTCGCCGTTCTCGCATTGTGTTGCCACCAGCCCTGAAAAAGTGTAAGGTATTTTTAGAGCATCGTACTTTAACCCAGTTACAGTGGTACAACACTGTGTATCGTGAAAAGGATACATGATCCATGCCAGCTTCTCCGAATGTGCATGCGTAAAGGGATCCCTCCTTCATAAACAGGCAGTTCACTACAGCGAACGCCAGAAAGACACAACACGGCTTGCGTACACGACTTTGTCATAAAAATGTAACCTTGAGTGCGCATGATGTGTTGATGCGTCTGCATCGTGTGACCTTCCGGCTCCGAGTTGGTCTGATACTAGAGAGGGCAGGGAAGAAGTCTGGCTTGCAAAGTCTATAAAGGGTGAGTGGCAAAGGTTTCAAGCTCACCTCCTCGCATTGTGCTTTCGGGGCTCATAGCGAATAAACTGAAAAATTCTTGTGATACAAAGGTTTCCACTGGGCACGCAACAACTTTCAGTGTCTAACTGAAATTTCTCATGTGACTTGGTGAAGCGCCCTTTAAGAAGTACATGACAAACGAAATTAAAGCCACCTGGACATGAGATTTTCTTACCTACGCATTTTAAAGCCACCTGGACATGAGATTTTCTTACCTACGCATTACTTTTTTCTGATGATTCTCCGTGGTTTCACATTCATTCTCCATCGTCCTGCGGATGTACAGAAGCACCTCCTTTTCCCTGTGCCTGAGAGAGGACGCCAGGAAGATGCGGAGAAGACTACGCTGAGCAGATAACATATGAATACGGTACGCCTCGCTGTGGTGGTGTAATGGCTAATGTACTTGGCTGCTGACCCGCAGGTCGCGGGATCGAATCCAGGCTGCGGTGGCTGCATTTCCGATGGAGGCGGAAATGTTGTAGGCCCGTGTGCTCAGATTTGGGTGCACATTAAAGAACCCCCGGTGGTCAAAATTTTCTGAGCCCTCCACTACGGCGTCTTTTATAATCATGTGGTGGTTTTGGCACGTTGAACCCCACATATCAATTAGTCATTAATATATGAATACGTGTGTAGACACTAATCGGCCTCTGTATTGGCAAGGGGCCTTGTAGCCTTGACAGTGCTGAAAGGAACTTCTGAGATTGTATAGGTTGCACGCCATGGGGCACCTAAAAACCCAATTTTGTCCGGTAATATGAATACCTTTCTCCAAGAGTAATCTAAAGCAGAATTTGAGTTTAAATAGTGTTCATAAAGGCACTGATTTTTAAAATAGGCACTTACATGCACGTATAAGAATTTGAGCACAAACTACGAAAATAGGCATTTATAGGCACTATAAAAACGCCGTAAATGCCCTTCTTAACTTTTAATTCATGCTTATATATCAAAGCGGCATGATATGAATGCAAGGAACGAAACAGGCATTTGCCTAAAATTCGGTTTATACTTATCATCATCAGTCTAACTATGCCCACTGCAGGTCAACGGCCTCTCCTATGTTCCTCCAATCGACACAGTCCTGTGCTTTCTGCTGCCAGGTTATAACTGCAGACTTGTTAAGCTCATCTGCCCACCTAATTTTTTGCCTCCCTCTCACGTGTATGGCTTCTCTTGTAATACAGGCAGTGACCCTTAATGACAAACTGTTATCCTGCCTGCGCACTATGTGCCTGGTCTATTTCAATTTTATCTTCTTGATTTTAACTATGATATCCTTAACCCCTGTGTGTTCCTTGACCCGCTATGCTGTCTCCTTGGTTTTAAGATTACACCTATTATTTTCCTTCCCTTGCTCAATTTAAGTGGAGCCCTCCCGATAAGTCTTCAAATTCCTTCTCCTTCAGTAAATACCAGTTAGATGCAGCTGTGATATACCTTCCTCATGAGGTATAGTGGTAGACTACCATCCTTGATTTTAGAATGCCTGATTAATGTGCTCCACCTCATCTTTATTCTACTAGTTAATTCACTCGCATGGTTAAGCTCTGTGGTTACTACCTGTCTTAAGTGAATGTATTCTTTTCCAACTTCCAGCGTCTCTCCACCTACTGTAAAGTGCTGTTTCCTGCCGAGACCGTTGCACATTTCTTTAGTTTTGCGCATATTAATTTCAGACCTACTATTCTACTTTCGGTGTCCAATTCAGTAATCATGAGCTGTAATTCGTCCCCTCAGTTACTCATCAAGGCATCAGTGAGTCGCAGGTTACTAAGATATTTTACATTATCCCTCATCCCTAACTTCTGAAAATACAGGATGATTAGGATTGGAGAGATCGTGTCTCCCTGCCTCACCCCCTTTTTTATAGAGATTTTCTCGCTTTATTTGTGGAGGACTGTGGTGGCTGTGGATTTGCTGTACATTTCCTCCAGTATGTTTATATAGGCTTTGTCGATGTTCTGATTCTGTAGTGCCTTCATGACTGGTGATATCTCGACTAAATCAATTGCCTTCTCGTGTTCTATGAAGGCTATGTATAGAGGTTGGTTGTATTCCACGCATCTTTATATCTCCTGATTGACCTGATTGATGGTATGATAATGGTTTATTGTTTAGTAGCCTGTACGAAATCCTGCTTGGTCCTTTCGTCGATTGAACTCTAGTCGTCTTAATTCTATAAGCTATTATTCTTGTAAATAGCTTGTATATAACGGATTGTAAGCTGATCAGCTTGTGATTTTTCAAGTGCTTGACGTCCCCTTTCTTATGATGATGTTTGCATTCTTCCAAGATTTGGTTACCCTTCCCATCAAGAGAGACTTCGCATACAAGTGGCCAGTTTTTCTTACGAAATCATCCTGCTTGTTTCGGCTGCTGTAAAGATCTCCGTAGATGTTCTCCACTACCTCAACTATCCTATCCATATTGGTTGTAACCTTGCCTTTCCTTGTCCCTTAAAGGGTACAGAAAATTTTTTTTAGAGGCGAGTTTACTCTGCTCTACAAATCTCTTGTATACAGGGATGGCTGTGTAACCCGCAGCAAACGCTGACATCTTATTTTGATACTTAAGTCGAATTTCTCGCGGCTCATTTACCGACATCTACACTAACTTGACGTCGGGCTACAGTACTAATCCTGGTGACTTCACGCCGCAGTCTGGCTAGTTGTGATGACATCAAGCACCAAAAAAGAAAGAAATGACAGCTTGAGCGTCGCCTTCTCGATCGTCTTGCGCCATGCGGTCGTGCGGTTACTTTCGTTTGGGGTACCTGTAAAGCAAGCTAGCGAAGTCTGAAATAGTCCTATTTTACGCGAATACAAGACGTAGGCTTATCAAAGGGCTAAAGAATCGTTTGGTTTCGAATTTGTCGTCATGCCGCCAATATTCTGCCCAGTGAAGTCTTATTCCAGTCAAACGGGGTACAATAGGTGCAAGTTACACTGATTCCTGTGATTCGGCGCTTAGACAAGCGCGGGTCGACTTCATGTGTTGTGGCCGAGGCAGGTACTGGACGCCAACCAAGTAGAGTTTGCTCTGTTTGCTGCACTTCACTCCGAAGGTGTACACACCCAACACAGAGTTGCTGACTGACCTTGGATTGTCAACGAAGTGCGTGCATCTTAAAAGTGACGTGCCCCTTTGCCGCGACAGTTGCCACGTGTGTGGCATGCAACAGACGAAGCAAACGATTGAAGAAGCGACACGCGGGCAAGGATACATCACGAAAACTTGCGCGTCCAATAACTACCGCCTGGCACCACTGCTCATACCATGTCGTGACGTCAGGGTAACGTACAAACCAAAACTGGCATTTAAAAACATGCTGTAATTAATTTTTCAGGGTGCACTGACATTTACTTGTACATTTCCCACGCTCTCAGGTGCTTGGCCTATAATTTAACCCCAAAAAACTATGCGTGAAAAATTTCGTGTGAGTACCCCTTTAATGCATACATTTCATTTTCGACTATGCACAGCATTGCCTTCACAGCTTTAGGTTGTGAAGGCAAAATTGAAGTCTAGGTAAATTAGAATCCTTACCATTATGTGTTCACTGCATCAGATCTTGCCAACTACTTCCACATCCTGTAGAATGCCCAGATGTGCACATTGAATGAAGTCTGTTTCATTTTAAGGGTGAAGCTCCTCTTAGTCTAACCTTGTTCTGCGTCAGGCATAATTGGCAGTATCACACAAACAGACAGCTAGACAGACAGAAGGATGCACAGATAGACACACGGATGGATGGACAGAGACAGATGGACTCATAGACAGATACACAGACGTACAAACAGCCAGACGAACAGGCAGACTGACACACAGACAGACAAACCGACGGACGCTTTGCCCCACTCATCATCGTTCACTCTGTGGATAAGCTGCGATTTATTTAGTTTCGTCATTATTAGGACTCCTCATGTCCATCTACGGTTAGCTCGTTTTCTGTAGAACGTATTCAAGATCTGGAACTTATTACGTTCTGCAAACTCTACTAGTAACTCGCATCTGGCATTTCTAGGGCTGATGCCTAATTTCCCCACTGCATAATCTCCAGCTTGCTTCTTGCCTACCTTGGCATTATTGTCGCCCATCGGTAGTGTATACTGTGTCTTTACCTTACTCATTGCTGATTCTATGTCTTTGTAGAAGCGTTCGAATAAATGATCATCATGACTGGATGTTGGCAATTAGGCCTGCATCACCTTGATCTTGTACCTCTTATTAAACTTAATTACGATATTTGCCACCCTCTCACTAGTGCTATAGTATTCCTCTATGTTGCCAGATATGTTTTTATGGATAAGGAACTCCACCCCCAATTCTTTTCTGTAAACTAAGCCACGATAGCACAGGACATGTCCGTTCTTCAGCAATCTATAAGCCTCGTGTGTCGCCCTAACTTTGCTGATCCCTATTACATCCCATTTAACTCCCTCTAGTTCCTCAAACAGCACAGCTAGACTTGCCTCACTAGATAACTTTCTATAGTGATAAACATAGCCAAGTTCAGATTTCAATAGCGGCTTGTCGGGACCTAGAGATTCCGAACACCCTCCACTGCTAAAGCAGGCTAATTTGATGTATGTACTTGCAGCTAATGTGATATTTTCTCAATATTTATGAATGTTTACTGGGTGTTTATAATAAGCATGAAAGTCAACTCTCAACATAATAAAGTTTATAAAATAAGTACTTCATTAAACAAACTATCTGCTTTTTATGCAGACTATAGCCACTGACAGATTCTTTTTTTGCATATGTTACTGTAGTTTCAATGAGCATATACATTGGAAGACAGTGCTTTCTAAGTTGGCAGCTCATTTGCCATAACAGAAGAAATATCAGTCCAATTTATGGGTTTGAAGATGCCTAATTATCTCAATTTCAACTTAATCATTGCCTTTTTCTTAGGGGAGACCCAAAATACTTCCTTATGAAGCGAGCTTGCTAAGTTCATTGTGCACTCCTGATATGACTGTCAATACTAGAGGCGCGTGCACATATGGCAAACTCGGGGTAGTCTGTTGTTTTTTTGTGCTGTGTACCTTCATATGCATATGAAGCTGCTTAGGATAGTAAAACTAGAATTATGTCCTATGTTGAGTGCCATTTTCCAACAGTCTCTCGACACTGGCTGGGTACCCGATGACTGGAAGCTAGCCCGCGTAATACCTATATTTAAATCCAAAGACCGCTTTAACCCAAATAACTACAGACCAGTCTCTCTAACTAGTATTGGCAGTAGACTGCTTGAGCACATTATTTCATTGGCAGTCATGAATTACTTAGGGGAAAACAATTTTAATTTGGCCAATGCTGCTACTAAACATCAGCTTACAATACACTAGTTCGCTCTAAACTTGATTATGCTTCCCAAATATGGAGCCCTCACCAGGCTTACCTCATTAATAAAATAGAGTCCCTAACAAAAGTGTCCGATTTATAACAAATAATTACTCTCAAACTTGTAGCATGAATGAAATAAAAATGTCTCTGAAGTTACCGTCTTTGCAGTCACGTAGTCTGTTCTCACTTCTCTCTTCCACAATCTCTATCATAATGATTTGCCACTGTCCGCACTTATTAAGCCTGCCCGTCGAATATTCTCTCATCTTGATCATGAATTCAAACTACAACCTTTGTTTGCCCGTACAAACCTATCTTTATATTTGCCACTGGTTCTTGCTATTCATCAATGGAATAAACTGCCTAAGGATATTGTTTATACAAAAAGCCACGATGAATTCACTGGCAAATTAAAATTTTATCTTCATGTTTGAGCAACCCTGTATAACTGCCTCAAATGTACTACAAATGTGCGAATTGTCATTTTTCTGGCTCACGATGTAGCTCTGCCACCTGACCACTGTGTAAGAGAAAAAATGTTCAGCCTCGTTGTTCGTGTTTTCCTTTTAGTTCAGTTTGTCCTTATAATTACATTTCTACATACTTTTTCTAATTACATTTCAATTTTTTTTGCATGATGATATTCAGTTTTTTAAACCTTTTATTACTTTAGTGCCGTGTTGGTTTTATGTATGTATGCTGTTACCCCCCCCTCCCGCCATGTAATGCCCTCGGGCCTTTAGTGTGCATGAATAAATAAATAAATAAATACTTACAAGACCAAGGTTATACATTGCTACGCTTATAAACTTCAGTGTAGGGGCAGCTATTTCAGAGCAGCATGCATCAGTTGCGTACCTTTTGCTTAGTTTAATTCATCAAGTTTTTTTTACGAAATTGCATATTTTGCTGTCTACATCTGTGCAGTGGTAACCTCTACAGTGTCGCCCTCTTCTGGTGTGGTTCAAACATCAACAGCACACTTGTGCTTTTGCTTGGAGTTGCAACAGGTACATTTGACTTCATGAATATACACAGTTTAAATGTCTGAATGATCTAAATTGAGCTGACCATCACTTTAAGGTGTAGCTTTTGTCTGCCTCAGTTTTGTAACAGTTACGATGCTCGGCTGCTAACTCGAAGGTCGTGGGTTCGATTTTGGCTGTGGCAGTTGCACTTATGTGGGAGTGAGGGGCAAGAGGCTCCTGTAGTGTGCAAAGTCAGTGCACGTTAGAAAACACCAGATGGTTAAAATTTCAAGAGCCTTCCGCCAAAGCATCCTTCATAATGATATCGTGGTTTTGGGATGTAAAAAGTCAACGATATGATACTTATTATTGACATGTTTCCTGTGTGTGTGTGTTCTGAGGTGTGGGTGTGTGTGTGGAAAATCGGTTGTTTAGCAGGATATGCACATGTATATACATTTATATAATAGACATTATTTTCATTAGTACTGCCCCTCCTGTTAGAGCCAAGTTGGCCTGCAGTATGTTGAAATAAATAAATAAAAGAAAATGCCAGATGCTAACTCCAGCCTGAACGTCGTCTACCTTCGTTGTGTTAAAAAGATAAAGCACATCATAAAGCCTGCTTTTATTATGTCAGCCCACAGATACTTATAAGCCTAACGGACTGCTTAATAAAATAATGCATGATACAAATGGTTTCTTTAATTTTTTAAGTTGTTATAATATCTATTACACTATATCTCGATTCTCTGTGCACAGACAGAATTAATACTCATGCCATTTTCTTCGGTGCTGGCTAATGCTATGAGATTAACTTGTGATTTGTGTTGTGCACAAGCAATTCACTTTTTAGTTAGCAGCCAGTCTACAGTGATCATGTCTTGCACACACTGTCATAATTTAACATTTCCCTAGCGTAGGAGACGTCTTCAGTCCTTGTCGGTTTGCTCTGTTGCTGCAATGTTTATGTTGTAAATATTTTCTTTCTTTTTATCTTTCTCGCACATGGTCTTCATAATAACGCTGACTAAATTAAAGGTCATGCTTCCAATACAAATCGATAAACTGCAAACAAGATTACTCAATTCAGAGTCATTATTTTTTGAGTGCTTATATAGTATTACATATTAGTACAGCAATGGAACAGCTGCGCCTATCACGCCATTGTGCGGTAAGCTTGTTTATCTGCGCCATCCTGCGTCAAACCATCTCTGTTGCGTCAAACTCGTTATCAGCGCCGTACTGCACCGCAGGACACGGATTTATCCGCCAGGTGTGGCGGCCATCGAGCTCCGCAGCACAAGCTCCGTGTCCCATAGAGTTTCTTATAAATTTTAGGGAACTCTATGCCTTGCCCAAGAACGTGACTGCAACATTTATTTATTTATTTATTTATTTATTTATTTATTTATTTATTTATTTATTTATTTATTTATTTATTTATTTATTTATTTATTTATTGGTACTGCAATCCACTAGAGGGATTTTAGCAGGTGGGCACAAAACACGTAAATATCAGCATATAACACCAGGAAAACAGATGGAAAACATTTCACACCAGGAAAACATTTCACATAGTAGGCAGTCATATAACACAAAGCAAACAAATAACTATCACTTGCATATTACAACCTAAACAAGCGTAACAAAATATTACCGATGGCACATCACTCTCATTTTTAGAAAAGAAAACAAAGCTAGCACAAAAGTAAAATTTTCTCTATTTTTCCAGACTAGCGGCAAAGGATGTTAAAGATTGTGTTGTGACTTAATGATTATTTAAACTATTCCAATCCTGCATAGATTGCATAGATCTGTGGAAAAAAGAATATTTGAAGCAGTTATTGCGGGTATGGAAGGGAGTTATTGTACAATCATGGCATTGTCTAGTGGCATAACCTGAAGAAAATGAAATAATTTTTCTCATATCTATCTTGTAATTCCCATTAATTATTAGATGTAAATATTTTAATTGGGATATATGGTTTATTTCTGAAAGTGAAGGTAAGTTAGCTCTGACTAACAGTTCATTTACCAAGCTTGTCCATAACTGTTATATATAAAGCGAACGGCTCTTTGTATTTTTTTTACTTAATGAATGTTAATTTGAGTAAATGGATCCCAGATCACTGCAGCATAATCAAGTATGGGGAGGATTATCGATTTGTAAGCAAGAACACAGACAGATGGACGGGAGAGTTTCAAAGTCCTTCGTAAAAAAAAACGGTTTCTGATTAGCCTTGGAAGTTACTATGTCAATGTGTTTTGTCCAGTTAAGATCGTTTGTTATCCATAACCTAAGATACTTGTAGGATTGAACCTCTGAAAGAATGGCATTGTTAGCAAAGTATTGAAAATTTAATTTGTTTTTCTTATGAGAAATGGACATGTACACTGTTCTTCAAAATTGATTGACATTTGCCAAGTCTCGCACCAGGAAACAACCTTGTTAAACGATTTGTTTTAACAAAACCTGGTCCTTTGAGGATTCTGTTTCGGAGTAAATAACGCAGTCGTCTGCGTAGAGCCTAATATTTACAGGGATACCATTTACTATGTCATTAATATTTAAAATAAAAAGGGGACCCAGAACGTTCTCTTTGGTGACGCCAGAGTCAACGGAAACCCTGTGAGAGGAATGATTGTTAAAAACTACAAATTGTTCTCTATTTTTCGAGTAGGCTAATATCCATTTAATAAGTTGATCATTCCCGAGAATTTTTTTCTAATTTGTATACCAATTTATTGTGCGAAACCTTGTGAAAAGCATTTGAAAAATTCATAAAAATTGCATCTGTTTGTTTTTTATTAATAATTGAAGTAGCGAAGTCGTGTATTGTTGATGTCAATTGTGTGTTTGAAAATCCATTCCTGAATCAATGCTGATGTTGGTTTGAGATATTATGTTCATCCAGGCATTATGAAATACTATTGGGGATAAGGTGTTTCAGAAGCTTGCAAACGGTTGAAATAGCGATACGGGTCGATATTTTTTGACAATCTGCTTGTTGCCTGATTTATGGATAGGCTTGATTCTAGTTGTTTTCCTATCGTCTGGAACCTAGCCCTCACGCAGCGATTTTCTAAAAAGAACATAGACGTACTTCGACATTCATTCAGCATATCTCTTTAAGAACGCGTTAGGGATATTGTTTGGTCCAGAGGACTTTCTGATATTAAGGTTCACAAGCATGTTCAATATGCCCTGTTCACCAACAACAATATTGGGAATTCGCGGCGAAACAGTTTCAAATTACAGAGTTGTCACACACACAAAAAAAAAACGATTTGAAGTGATAATTGAAAGCATTTGCAATTCGAGCATTATCGTGTGTGAGAATACCATGGACATTGAAGACGTCACACTCTTTGATGCGGGCGAAATGCTCCTCCGAAATTTCTTGGGACACGAGGTCAAGTAATTCGGCAAGGATTTTCCAAAATAACGCTGCTTATCTGTTTGAATTTGATTTTTGAGTTTTACTGAAATCTTGGCAATTCGTTCTGAATATGCTATGTTAAATCCGCATTTTTTTTTTTTTTTCGCTTCAGCTTTTTATTTACCAGAGGCACAAATGATTCAATGCATTCTCTGACATTGTCCTTAAACCAATTCCATAAATTATGTATATCAGTTTCATTATTTGCTAACTTACAAGGTTGAATGAAAGGAGATCTATAATAGCAGCATCATCTGCACGATCGAAATTAGGGAAAGATAAACAGGGTAATGTCTTATCGAAGACTGTGTCACTTAGAGTAAATAGCACTGCGTGGTGATCAGAAATTCTAGGATATATATATCTCAGTCGTGGCTTTAGGTGTAATTGCCTGGTTAACGAAGAAAAGGTCTAAGGTTGACTGAGTGCTCCCTTGAATTCTTGTGTAGCCTTCAACTAGCTAAAGGAGGTCAAAACTGTAGCAAATATCAAGCATAGCTTCAGCCAAAAGGTCGCACTGCTTCAGGGCAAATTTTTTTCCAAGCTACATTAGATAAATTATAATCACATGTCATTATAATTTGGTCATTATGCTTAATATTCAGTTTCAAATAATTTTTCAATTCATTCAGTACATAAACAGGAGCGTTTGGGGACCCTTAAACACCTCCTATAATGTAACAGACATCCTTGTGATGAACCTTACAAAAAATACCTTCTACTCCTGGCATATCTGCCATTCTACATATTTTAAGGTTTTCTTTGAAAAGTACACAATCGCTGCCGCCTTTACTAGCTCGGTCATGTCTGTATGCGCTGTAGCCAGACGGAACAAATTCATTATTAAAAACCGAGTCGCTTAGCCACGTTTCTGTTAAGACAGCACTAGCAGGATCATGAGAAAGTATTGATGCCTCTAATTCAGTGGCCTTATTAAGAACGCTCCTACAATTTACATTTAGTATATTTAGTGCGCTGTAGTACTTGTTTTTGTGTCAATTCGATTTTTTCTTCAGCCGATAGCGTGACCCCTTTCCTTCGTCTTATGCAAACAAGATGTCATTGACCTTAAGCTTATCATAAACTAGTTTTGTCTTACAGCCATGCAGCCTTTCTTCCTCTGAACTTTTTCACAATTGCTTTCGTATTTCTCGAATTCGTTTGGAAAAGTCTTCAGACAGGGACAATGTGCTTCCCTTTAATTTAAATGCACTCGATATAAAGTTAGTTTTTTCCCGGTATTCAGGAAATTTTATGATCGCAGGTCGTGGCCCAACCTTTGTTTTTTGCCAAACCTGCGACATCTTTTAATGCCCATTACCGTTATTTCTAACTTCTGCTGAAAAATATCTTTCTCTATTCTTGCTTTCAGGTCCTCGTACTTTTTGTCAGGGGGCTCTTCTAACCCGTAATGGATTAAGTTATTTCTGCGGCATCTATTCTTGTTTGTTTCGGTTGTGTTTCGGTTTCATCGAAACTGTTATAGTTCTGGTTTCATAAGTGCTCTCATCGTTCGAACAGAAGCTGTGAACATTGGTTCTGAGGGCGGGGTCAACGGCGCACACGCTCTCTCGGCAGTTTTCAGGTCAGCGCGAATTACTCGTAAACCCATCTACGTGCTGCACTCTCAACGGGAAGTGACTGTGTGTGAAAATAGTATCTCTTCCTGGCACGGCCTTTTGTAGAGTTACGTGATATCGGTTCCAAAAGAGTTAGCTGCTAGCCTTACTTCGTGTAACATTCCAATTTGTTGCTATCACATTTATTTCTTTGCCCTTGTGGTGATAGCAACAGCTTGATGGCGACATTGAGAAGAAAAAAAGGACGATAATTGTGTTGAAAAGAAGGGAGTGATGTGCGGTTCCCTAAATAGCCTAGCATGGACAGGTGCTCAGAAGTGCTTATAGAGCACACGCGTGTATTTTCGTTCATTTCGCCGTCGTGCCCCGTACGCCACGAATTGGCTCTCCTGTTGACAGTTGCGCATTGAGGTTAAAAATATTATACTAAGTGACACTGGCAACTAACTTTTCTTAATATGATCTCATGTAACTACGAAACGCTGGTCTCAAATAATATGGGCGCAGTCAGGGAGAGCAACACTTGTCGCACACTCTCGTTGCACGCAGCTCGTAGAAGTGTATACCGGCCACCCACCTATGGCTGCCTAGCCAGCGCGGCGCGACCGCCTCCTTAGAAGCAAGCTTTACAGTTGTACGGCCGCGCTGCATAAGGGGGGTTTATTCAGCGGCCTGGACAGTTGCTGCTCAAGCGACACCATTCCTCCCCCCCCCCCCCCCCCATTCGCGTCTTTTCCTGCTAGTTCAAGGTGAGCGAGGTTTTTTTTCCGTTGCTTCTATGGCAGGCCTCCCAATTGGGCTTAGGTTATCGCATTCGCCCTTTGAGCACAGGAAGTAAGCCGTCTCGTTTGATAAATGTGGCAGCCAAGTTGACACCGCTCGCGAGTCATTACTTCCCGGTAGGAAATATGGTGTGCAGGTGAATGTTACAATTTTGGACTTTTGCAGGACATAACGGCGACGGCGAAAAACATTATCTGACTAATCCAAACTTACTCGAACAGATCTTTCTGGCCGCTCCAAGCCTGCTACAGAGGGCACTTTTGCCTGGTCCCGGGATTTCTCTAGAAGCCATGCACCCTGTTCCACACCTTCAAGTTTGATTATAGCTTAGAGGTCATGCCCTGCCACGGCCTACAGGTTATGGCGCTGGACTACTGAGCCGCAGCACGCGGGATAAAGTCCTGGCTGCAGCAATGGCGTGAAGGCATAATGCTAGAGGCCCACCTTGTCTAGGTTTAGATACAAGTTGAAGAACCCCAGGTGGTCATAATCTCTGGAGCCCTGCACTGTGGCATCTCTCGCCATCATATCATGCTTTTAGAATATAAAATACCAACAGCTATTTTGGCTTAGTGGGCCTAAATCAGCCTAACACATCGTAGTGCTTTGTTACCGCTTCTGAGTGTTGCAACTTGTTGCTTTCCTGTTGCCAGGAAAACATGGTATCACGCCAGGTGCTGCGTTCTACCTTTTGGTGGCCATTGCTTCTCTCTGCTTCCTCTACCAACTGAGACACCAGAGGATCACCTACACTGTAAGTGTGTATACAGCCTTTTTTCTGCTATTTTTTTACTCTTTCTGGTAGACTTGTGGCTAATCTCAAGGTCGCAGGTTAGACATCTGGCGTGTGTGACCAGTGTTTAATTGCTTTATGTTAAATATTCTAAAGTTCGTGGATGGAAACTGTCGCCCTTTTTATGCACTTGAAGGCTGCATCTTAATTTTTTGTCGAGACAGCTGTGCGTGGTGCTAAGCTAAGTAGAATTTGCAAAGTGAGACATTAGATATTTAAGAGTTATACAATATTAGAAGCTATAATAGTAACATATTATGTACCAAAAATTTCATAATCATCAGTTATGACTTTTGTTACAAAAATTCTAATTACCTTATATTTACCCTTCCTGGCTTACTATTGCAGGTGTCTGGCCCAAGAGAATGCCTTTTCAAGCGGAAACACGATATTGTCTTTCTTCTTTACCTTTTCGCTGCAAGTTTTATAACCATATTTAGAGGCTTGGTAAGAATGTTTTCATGGAAATCTTTTTGCTTATTTTATGAAATTATACTGCGTTGAACGCTTAAAATACAAACACGAATGTCAGACACAATAGTAACAGGAACTAACAGACAATAATGCCAAGGAAAGTATTGGGGGAAGTAATTATATGTGACGTAAATGTGAAGAAAGTGGACGAAAAAAATGATTTGCTGCCGGCAGGGATCGAACCTGCAACCTTCCAATTCGAAGGTTGCAGGCCTGGCTCCTTTATTATCTTCACATTTATATTGCCACGTTCCAGTGAGACCAACGGTGAGACCAACGGCCTCACCGAGCGGCTTAACAAGACGATCGCCGACATGCTGTCAATGTACGTCGATGTCGAACACAAGACGTGGGATGCCATTCTTCCGTATGTGACCTTCGCATACAACACGGCGGTGCAGGAGACGACGCAGATATCTCCATACAAATTGGTCTACGGAAGGAGCCCGGCAACGACGCTCGATGCCATGTTACCCAACGTCACCGACGAAGAAAACATTGATGTGAGCGAGTACCTTCATCGCGCCGAAGAAGCCCGACAACTTGCGCGGCTCCGTATCAAGAATCAACAGACGACCGACAGCCACCGCTACAACCTTCGACGACGCTTTGTGGAATACCAGCCCGGTGAACGTGTTTGGGTGTGGACGCCGATACGCCGACGTGGACTAAGTGAAAAGCTTCTGCGACGGTACTTCGGACCGTACAGGGTGGTTCGACGTCTCGGCCCACTTGATTACGAGGTTGTCCCCGACGGCATTACGAACTCTCAACGACGCCGATCGCGACCTGAAGTCGTCCATGTCGCGCGCCTCAAGCCGTTTCATGCGCGTTAACAAACTGAACCAGTGTTTTTTTTGTATTATTGTTGTATCGTAATTTATTCATTGTACTTTCTTGCATTATTATTGTACCTTCATCTTTAGTTAAAGCATCGAGACGATGCCTTTTTCAGAGGGGGGCAATGCCACGTTCCATTTCCCAAGTTTTTGTTATCGTCCCAAAACACCACACGATTCTCAGCGCAAACCGCGCCTGTAGTTTTCTAGAGGGTTCCGGACTGTAGTAGATCATTTCGATAAGATCACGCCCACTGTGCGAATGGTACAGATTGTTCTGGAACGCACGCCGCCGCCAGCGATAGCGCTAGAACATTCGACGGCAAGGGTATAAATGCCGACGCGCTTCGCCGCTTGTGAGTAGTTGATCGAAGGCCGACGCTCCGTTCGCCGCTATCAGTCCGAGACTGCTATCTGTGCGAGACTGCTGCTGTAATTGGACTTTCAGTTTACCGGGCACAGGTTCGCCCAAATAAACAGTTAAATCCTAACACGAAGTCTTCTGTCTTCGGCCACGTCACGACCCCGTGACAATATCATAATACAAACAACAATCTCTATACGTTCTTGGCATTATTTTCTGTTTCAGTTAATATTGCATTTAACAAAGAATGAGCGCTTTAAAGGGGCCCTGCAACACTTTTTGAGCATGGTCAAAAAACACTGCCGATCTGTAGTAGAGATTCCCGACAACAAGGGAGCCAAATATTATAGCACAGCACGTGGCCTGGAATTCACAACAAATGATCAAAGTTAGCTAAAAATTGCTTTCTCTTCTCTCGACAAATCACAGAATATGCCCGAAAATCACACGTGAATTACCCATCTATCAGCCATTGGCTGATTGGAACATGGCGCGCTCGCTCGTTACAGAGATCGCTGCGGGAGGCCGCTACTTGTCCATGCGTGCGCGCGCGATCACACTGAAAAAGCAGCGCATTTGAAGAAAAAAAAAAAAGGAAGAAAAAGGTGCTCAAGGTCACGAGGCGTGTGTGACGTTTTTCTGTGGCCCTGCCATACCTCCCTGCTTAGCTTCCAGCACTTTCGTTGGGACAAGAGAAGAGAGAATGCAATCACCATTCGACAGACCTTTGCAACTCCACTCGCACCCGACGTATTCTTAAAATTTTGCAGCAATGAAATCGTGAGGCAATAAGCTTTTCCAGTGAATTAATTCCGTGGTTACTTGAAGAAGCGTTTCAAGCCCCCTTTAATGTTCCCCTTCCTTCCTGAATTCAATTGTCAAGCACAATTGCAAAAGCATTTTTTTTTATGAAGCTATGTAGCATAATTGTACTGTTGTTTGTTACTCACAAAGTGTGGCACATTGAAAGCTTTGAAAGAATGTAATTCAAAGAATCTTTGTCATTATTTATAGCCTTTAATGAATTGGAATTTCAGTTTGTTGTGAGCAGTCTGAGCTGTTACTTGTGTTTCACTTCAATATGATGGTTTTATAACAGGCTGTGCTAGGAACAAACATTGGCTGGATCAATCGTTATGTTGCTACTGTAGAGCCGTACCTGCAACACAAAGACCCAGCACCTTTTCCAAAGATGCAGGTTAGTGGTTTGTTTACTTGACGGTGAGTCTAGTTACACTGCTACTCTTGTTAAGCACAAATAATGAGGCTCTGTCTCATGATAGGTGTGCATTCTGTCAAGTGCTTTGTCAGTTCTGCAATTTTTCTCGATCTGTGCTGATTACAAATGGTTTCCGTGTCCTGTAAGTTCTCTCTTGTTTTAGGCATTTGAATTTTCTGTAGCTTGTTTCTTTTCTGTGAAGAACCTGTACAAACATGTCGTTTAGGTTTGACATTCACTCATATGGTTCCAAACGTGTTCATGGTCACACGGTCAAGTGGACCTTAACTTTCATGCTTTGATTGTGCAGGTTCTCTATCCTTGTGCCTTTTTATGACCGATAGTAGTATTGTCCTGTTCTCAATATAATGGTTTTAGTTGTTCGGGCTTTTGGGATTATATGTCGCCGGGGTTTCATGCATTTTTTCTGAGGACGTGTGAATAGTACATTTTAGGTTCAATACAAATTTGAAGTGAATAGTGATTTGTTCAAATACAGACGAACCTCTTTATAAGAGACACCGATATAAGATACAAATGGGTACAAGAGACACCGGAGTGCCCATAGAAAAATACGGGTTGACAAGAAATAATATACGAGGCACCCTGCTTATAAGAAACATCTCACATAAAAGACGAGCATTGCTGCCCGCAGCATGCCTCTTATGAAAAGGTTTAGCTCTAATATTGAATCAAATAGTGTATATCTCATATCATAGAAAAATTAGCATATTTGTCATTTACCAACTAACCTGCACAATAGTTTTTAAAATTGGAACAAGGCTCATGCAAATGTCATACTTTTTGGTTTGAAGTAAGGTGGAAGCAGCTTTGAGTAGTAGCAGGATTTGAATTCTAGTATGATGCAAGCAATAACGAGTAAAACATGTCAACGTTTTAAAAATTATATACTTAGAGCATATGAGCCTATATGTCTTTTAACCTAAAAATTGAGATGTTGGGGGGGGGGGGGGGGGGGTAATACGTTCTTTTAACATTGAAGTGGGTCTTTGCGGCAGTTCGGATTATTTTGGTTAGGTGTAATATTCATTCGAATATTAACACATGCCTAAGGCTTCCTGCATTCTTATTTGCAGATGCTTGTTTATCTGTTCCACCATCTGCCTCTGCAACTTGCCAGTGCCTATGCATTACTTGTGCCCAGCTGCCAGTGGATGCCAGACCTTAGCCTTCTCATTGCTGGTGCTGTGCTGCAGGTACACTTCTCTTGTGCTTATTATAATAGTCGAGGTTTCGTAGGAGCAGCTTAGCACACCTGTTAGGTTTTCTGTTGCCGTAGAAAACGTGGAAGCTTGCTTTCAACATTGCTGATTGCTGTTTGTACATTCTTTCTTCGTACTCTTGTGTGCATTAAAGTATAAGTAAGTTACACACTGAACTGTTGGTTTGACAAGCGTGTGTCCAACAGAGCAAGTAATACTCGTCCTATAAGCAGCAGGGGGAGCATGTTCTTGACTGACAAAATTTTATTAACAGGTGAATTGAAGGTCTCTTTAAACATGTAATATGCATTCAGCAGTTTCCTTGTCTAGCTCGAAAGCTTTTTTTTTTTTTTTCACTTGTGCTAACAGATTCTCTGTTCGATTTGAAAATTCTTGGAATAACGTTGCCTGCCTTTTTATTTTTTCTTGAAAGCGCTTGTATAAAGAAATTATATGTTTGTTTCCCTATCGTTATTTTTCTGTTGTGTTCACCGGTTAGGTACCACGATGCCAAGATCTTGGACAAAATATTACCGTATTATAAATAAATGAAATAAATAAAATCTTTTGTGGTCGCCAGCCCTTGTACGAGCTCTAGAATGTGCTCTTCTATACCAGTCACCAATTCAGTGTGATAAGAACTGAGTGATAGCTCTTGAGAAGCTTCTTGTATACGAAAGTCTCCCATGCCACAAGCAATGACTTATAGCATTTTGCTTAGCTGATTAAAAATGTCACTGCTAAAGATATGAGCCATACATGTCACTATAGCCTCTTTCTGATGCCTTCTGCTGTTGATTACAGTAATTTTTTTTTTTCTTAATTTGCCACAACAGGGCCACGTATTTTGCGATTTTCCAATGTCTTGCTTTTTATGCAGGGACAAGTGTCACACATAGGTGCATCTTTCCATCCACGCACTCCGTACGTGATGCGGGTGCCTCCTGAGCCCGTCTCGTGGCTTTCCTTTTGGATTGTGAACCTTCTGCTAGCCCTGGGGTTCCAATTTCTAGCGTATAGGTGCAACACCGATCCCGAGTTTTTTGCTGCACTTCGTTCGCACAGCGACCGACGGATGTCATAGCCCCCGGTGGTATGTTATACTCTTGTGAAATTGAGGTGTTTTTGTCAGTAAGTTAAGCCAAAAGAGGGTTTAGTAACTCAAACAGATGAACGTGCATCCCTTTCAGGCATACGTCTCTGGCTTGACCCCAAGTGCATGCTCGTTCTTCATGCCAAAAACATCGTTCTCCCCTTTATTTCATACTTGATTTAACAACCCCCATACTCTGTGATTTCAGCTGGCAATCATGGCTCATTCAAACGATGTGCTTGCAGTTCTGACTGCTTTTAGCGCAGGCTGTTGACAAACCTTCACAAATTATGACAATAACTCAAGAAACAAGAAAACATGGCAACAGTTGGTGGACTAGCAAATGCCCGATTTAGTTTGTGCACTAAAGAGTGTGCAAGATGCCCTTCCTAGTCGGTGCTCTCACTTGTTTTACTTGGCTCTTGTGTGATTGGAACTTCTTTAATTTTTCTACTGCGAGGGTAGAGCGATTTACTACATACAAATCAATCACACAAGCACACAAAGCTTTCTCAAATAGCCTCAATGCGATTGGAAGACTTATTTACTTCCTATAATTAGAAAAACCGTAATTTTCAAGGTATAAACTGCTTGCCTGTAAAGTGCATGTGAAATATCTCTTGGTTAGTGCAGCCCCACTTGTCAACACAGGCAGACTTTGCCTGCGGTAGGATGAGTAGTAATAATAATAATTTGTGGTAACCTTTCCCGTTGCAAGCATGTACTGTTCTTTAAGGAGAGGATCTTTAATAATAAGGTCATATTTGAATCTGTGGCAATGCATTTGTAGTGTGGAATGGACAGAGCAGGATGGATTAGAACTTGAATTATCATATTAAGATTTGCATGATGTAAAACTCGATTGACATGTTTTGGTCGAGTCAATGTAATGTGTGATGCGGTGTGAAATAATTGATGCATTGCCGCGCCGACATTGAGCTAAAAATGTCTTGCCACGTTTGAGGGTTGTGAATGCCGTAGCTTTCATTTGATTTTGCAGATGCTTTATGTACATAATATTATAGCTGCGAAGTTGGACGGTATGGTCGTGTGCTTTCAGTGTTGTTTCTTGTCCCGACTTATCTCACTTAGGCAGTGAGAATTAATAGTGTGACTCCTGCACAGCCTTCATGGGGAACATGCAGAACCATAATTATTATCTGCCTTTGTTGTGTTTGACCATGGGTTTTCGATGAGCAGAATTCCTAGTCAAAGCTATATGAACATACTGCTGCTGATCAGCTGATGTGAACCAGCTGGTTTTGAGTGTGTGACACGTGGCAGCTTGATATTAAAGGGACTGACAACCAATTTTTATATGGTACCTGCTGTGTATTGTGCGACAGAAACCTTACTCGTCTGAGCATCTAATCATGGAACAGTAAAACAGAAAATGGCGTGAATTTTTAAATCGAACTTTTTCAATCTGCGGCACCTATCAGATCGCACATACAATGCGTGTTACAAACAGAGGTAGGTGAGCCGCTGCATGGCGGTTCGTGTGATGCAGTTAGCTGTGCATGTGTGCACGCCCCGCGCATGTATTGAGACTTCACGCAATTCCACTAGTTGCCGCAAAGGCAGCACCGCTTCTCAGTGTCAGCTTCTTTTGCCATGTAATAAGCTTAGAATAAAGCGGGTGTGCCTAATAATATAAGGATTGTAATTTTAAGCACAAAATGTGGTGTGTCTGAACAAGGCCTGGCAATGTGCTCTTTTACGCAGTGCACAGGCTTGCCACCAGGTGATGCAACTTGCCAGCTCATCTTTTTTTTACTTCCAAAGCTTGATTTTGCTTCCAAATCTTGATTTCCAAATGCGAATTCTATTCAAAGAATGCTCGATTTTGTCACTATGGTTCACGGTGTTTCCGCTTCCATTGGCGTCTTGCGACACATTTTGACCGGTTGTCAGTCCTTTTAAGTGCACTATTGGTAACCTGCAAGTTATAATGGTTTCATTTGCTGCCTTTGTGCGATTGAGAAAATGCAGGTGCTCCCTGCACTGATTAAGTATTTTTTTATGAAAGGTCTACGGTGATGAAAAATTGTTTTTAATTGCAAGGTTTGCCATCATTTTTTGTGGATTGAAGAGAGATGCAGAAGCACTGATTTGTTTGTGATGTGCATCTATTGAAGCTTAACTTGAGAGTGCTATTGCCACAGTGAGTGGATCATTGTTCAAATTGTAAATTTAATATATAGATGCCATTAGCAGCCCGTGGTGTTACTCTGAATAGATGTTCAGTAGACCAAGAGAGCAAACTCCCCTGTTTATGCTAATGCTGCTGTCCGAAGGAAATTTGTGCATGTCGTGTGAGCACAGCACTTAATGTTCAATAAGTGCCTATTTGGAGTGATTTTAGTGAAATTGCTTCTTTCACTGTGTAGTATTTTAGTATGTTAGTGGTTGTGATTTATTTATTGTGCATATACGAAACACTTAATGGTGAATTTCGAAGCTGGTTTTTATAAACAGCTGCATGTACTCAACCAAGGTGCGAGAATTATTGCTACCAAGTTGAAACTGAAGTACTCCTTGCATCAGGAAAACAAAGAAAGAAATTCTTCGAGGCTGGCCTGTTGGAAAACTTTTGTGTAGGTTCTGACTTTGCATTATTATAAAAAATTGGTGGATTGTTTACTAGCACATCAATACTATTATACCTTTCAACTATGCTGCATTCTATTTCTTTTAATGTTAACTAGTGTGTACTTAGTTATCAACTGCACAAGTCTTATCAAGATATTGAAGGTATGTCACTGTGCAGCTGAACTTTCATTCAGTGAAATTCATTACGAGAGCCAATTTTCGTTAGTATAACGCTTTTCGTTTTATCAGTGAGGGTATTATCTTGTTTTCACAGCACTTAATTAATTAATGAGTGGGGATAGAAGAGGAGGAGAAGTGTTAGAGACCAATCAGAACTACTACGTACTTCACCGCTTAGTATTGTAGCATGCAGATTTATGCAGTTTGTACTACAATTAGCACTAAGCCTGAAAGCTAAATTGAGGCTCATTAGTAAAAGGTAGTATAATCGCTGAAACTTTTCAGAGTGATTAGATTGTTTATAGCCAGAAAAATGTACAAGGTCTTTGTGCAAGAATTTGAGTTTTGGAAGAACACTGAAGGCCAACCAGAACGGTGTTATTGAAAATATAATGATGTTTTGGCTTCCTCACAAAAGGCTTACTCACCAACAAGCCTTGTTCACTAACTAGTTTATTAGTCGGAGAACATTCTGAGGATCCGTTTCAAGCAAGTTTATCAGTCTCAAATGCATATGTGTGAATCAGCACAAATACTTACAGCTTTGCGTGATTCGTACTCATTCATGCAACGTAATCCTGTGGCATTTCAATTATGTTTACTTACTATTCACAGTGTGATCAAAATGTAACATTTCTTGCACATTGTAGTGCCCAGTGAAGATTTATTTTGTGTTCATTTGCTTACTATAATAAGTTACTATAGTCATGTAAAATGGTGATAACTCTTGTTTTTATCATGTTAATTTTCACTATGTGTCCTTTTAGCACTTTCTGAGACAGTTCAGGGATGAAATGCTTATGTAGCTTGCTTTGTTGTATATTTATATTCTTTTTGTGCACTGTATATTCCATCTGAGCTTTTCTATAAACAGCTGAATGCTCCTAATTGTTTAGATTTACCACTTGTAATTTATTTCTCCCTTTAAGTTTAGCTAGGGATTCAGTGGAAGCAAGTATATCTATTCTTAGCGTATGCATCATTTTTTCAGCAGGTACTTTTCAGAAACTTGATAGAATATGTGGAAGACTGGCTCTATAAATTGATTCATTGTTTACAAACAGTGGCAGGATGCTTTGTTACTTTTCTAAATAATTGCGCTCTTCTTGTGGGTGCATTTGAGTTGTAAATCTGTTCTAGTGTTGCACTTGTTCCAAAGATCACATCCTTTGCTTTCCACGTATGTTTCACAGTTTTCTATATGCTAAAATTAGAGTCGACCTGTATTCTTGCTTCCATATTATGTTTCTGTAGTATCCTTACATCATGGCATTAGTGCATTCTGGCATCTTGCCAGACTTCTGCATGTGCTAAGACTTGCTCCATGTAGGAACCGCAGTTTGTGGTATAAAAGCCTGACCCTTTTTTATTTTAGTAAAAACTTTAAGACACGATTTCATCATTTATTTTGTGCATCAGCTTATACAACGTCGATAGTAGCCTTCCATCTAGTATTGCATAAATTTGGGAACAAGCCCAAGTAATTATCACCTGTTGTAAATTTGTTCTTTTTTTTTAGTAAACTCTCATGTTTTCTTTTTCTCTTGGAACTGCATTTATGCATGGTGACAGTAGTAAGAAGCTTCAGAAATTGTAGATTCATAGTGTCTGATCACTGTCTGTCCTTCATACCAAAAATATTCGACCCCTGTCACAGTGTCACAGATGCACAGTGTCACAGATGCGCAGTGTCACAGATGCATCAATGTGACGTTAAGTTCTCTATACTGTTTTGAGCTAATTTGCATCCATTATCCGTAAAACTCTTGGTGCGAATCAGTGTTCATGAATACTTTCATGTCATTATTTTATTCCCAAAGATATGTGAGCATAGCGATTAATCAGGCTTTCAAACAAAAATTATTGTTCTACTTAGCACAGTTTGCTAAGCTTTCTTCACATTTTCTTTGTCTGTGCATTATTTATATAACGATTCGTTAAACACACAATATGTCGAACTAGTTCAGTGCACATATTCTAATGGGTTCAAAAGAAATATGACAAAATAGCATTTGCGTGGAGTATATTGAATGTTCAATGTAAAGTTAGTGCCTTAAATTTCTGCATCCATGATGTGGTTGCGCAGCTTATGAGATGCTAGTGCAAAAAGAAAATATTTTATGTGCTCTATTAAAAAAAAATTAGTACAGTATATTGTATAGTCTTTTTGCTACCATTGACAGAATGCACATTTTGTATACAGTGCTTGAATAACTTTTGCATATTGAATGCAAAGTAACGTACAGCGGCGTTTTGTGCAGGATGCGGCTGTTCATATAGATTTGAGAAGTATTGTATTCAGTACATGTGCTGCTGTGAGCTCCAGTTATATTTTTCTTTGTCAAATGTCTTCGAGAAAATTTCCGGAGCCCTCCACTACAGAGTCTCTCATAATCATATGGTGGTTTTGGGACTTAAACCCCACATATCAGTCAATGTCGAATGTCTTTATCTAACAAGTTTATTATAAAGCAATAATTAACAGAGGCCTGCATCAATTTTCCTATTTAAATATATGTGATGAGACGAAATTATTTCATTTATTAACTACTTAATTAGTTTTGATGAATGTTGCTACATTTGAGAGCTAAATGCTACCAATTGTAGACAGCTATGTTGTTTAAATTGTTTAGTTTTTTTCAAATGCTGATGGCTGAAAAATATATATGTTCAGTGCAATATTCTTGCAATAGCCACCACATTGGTACAATGGTTACAGTGCTTAACTGCTGACTCAAAAGTGACAATTTGATCTCAGTTGCAATGTTACGTTTGGATGGAGGTGAAATGGTAGATTTAACATGGATTTAAGTGAACGTTAAAGAACACAAGGTGCTTGAAATTTCTGGTGCCCTTTGTAATCATTTTGTCACAAAAAATTCTAGAAGTCATATTAAGTATGTCTTGAATAGAAAAAATCATGAGGAAATTGGATTAAAAGAGGTTAATTACAACTGACAAGGGCCCAAATGGCTTCGGTACTTCAGGCACATTTTGCAGCATGAATTCCATGAAAGTGTCACACAGTGATGATACAGCATTGCCACGTTCCTTCCTCAAGCTTTGTTATTACCCCGTTACACTGTACGTAATTGTCAGTGCAAACCACGCCTGCAGTGTTTGAGAAGCTTCTGGACTGTATTAGATCATTTCGTTAAGATTTCACCAACTTTGTGATTGTTACAGATTAATCTGAAACCTACATGGTCGCTGGCGATAACGCTATAATATTCGAAGGCACGTCTATAAATGCCGCCGTGCTTCACCACTTGTCAGTTAATCCACGGCTGATGCTCTGTTCGTCACTATCGGTGCCATTTTATATTGCTGTAATCTCACTTTTCGTCTGTCGGCCACACGTTCGTCCCAAACTGAACAGTTTCATCTTGAATCTAGCAGTCCACTCCCTTTGTCCATGTCATGACCCCGTGACATCTGGTGGAGGTGCTGCTTCTTTCATGTGCCAGATGCCCTTGTCAAGCCATGGATCCAGTCCACGTCACGGAGAAAACCCCGACGCCAGCCACGAGCATCAAGTTAGCCACAGGCAACAAGGCCTGCCACTGGAGTACGGGGTTCTGCGCGACAAGACTCTGAAGACCAAAACATTGATGTCGACCACGGCCACAATGACAGCACCTGTGCCACTTGCACGGCTCCTGCTCCGGCAATCCAAAGAGCCAGCAACATTCCGCGGTTCGCCACTCAAAGATTTGGAAAGCTCGCTTGAAAGTTTCAACCGAGTTGCCTTTTCAGTCACTGGACCTACGATGACTATCTTCAGCATCTCTATTTCGCTTTAGAAAACCCTGCTAGGACCTGGTTTGAGAACTAAGAGCGAAACCTCACAACATGGGAGTTTTTCGTGCCAGGTTCGTTGTCAATTTTGCAAGTGTGGTCCACAAGAAGAAAGCTGAAGCTCTCCTAGAAACACGCATGCAGCTGCCAAACGAAAACGTAGCACTCTTCACGAAAGAGATGACCGAACTTTTTCGTCGCTCCGACCAAGAAATGTCTTTGAACAAGAAAGTCCACCTCTTCATGCGAGGAGCTAAGCGAGAGCTTCTTGCGGGATTGATGTGGAACCCTTCGAACGGCGTTCAGGAATTTGTCTCAGAAGCGACGACTATCAAAAAGACCCTTGAAATGCACCATTCAACTGCTGCTCCACGCCAGGCTGTGCAGAGATCCAGCCACTCTGCTCCGACGATCTGCGTGAAAGCATAAGAATTGTAGTGTGCTAAGAACTTCGCTAAACGTTCCCGTCGTGCCAGCCTGAAGTTTCATCAATCGCAGACACCATCAGAGATGAAATTCAGCAATCGCTGGGCATCCCTGAGTCTGCGCAGCTACAACTCCAAGCTGTGAGCTATGCTGCTGCAGCCGAACGTTATACTCTATCTCAACGTTCATGTTAAGAGACTGCGGCGTCACATTTTCGTCGTCAGACATCGCCAGACATCGCCACCACCACTACTGACGACATGTCATCCACCTGTCTCCAGCGCTACGTACAAAGAAGAACCTGGCACCTGCCCACTCTGCTACCACTGCGGAGAAGCTGGCCGCACATACCGCCGCTGCCAGTGCCGCCAAATGGACCTACACGGCTTTGCCGTCAACTCACCGCCCCCGCAGCACAGCGAGCGACAACGCGACATTGCTGACTTTCTGACCACCACATAACGGGCACCTCAATGAGCTTCATCGATTTTATGTTCCGGACGGCTCCGGACGCCGGTGCCACATTTGTTTTTCTCGGGCACCAACCGGAAGCTCCACCCACTGGTCCGAGATTACTCGGACGCATGTTCATTTTTCGCATGCCTGGCGGCCTGCGGACAGCCCGGGACTGTCAGAACAATTTCTTTCAGGCAGCTGGCAGCCGACATTGCAGGGCGCATGCCAGTGCGGCCATCTTAAGTTAGACACGGAAATTTTAGACGTGCTCTTGCTCTCTCTTTGCTTTTCTGCCCACTTCTCGCATGTTTTTGGATTTCGCGTTGTTCTCGCTACCATTTCTTGCATTTGAGTGCTGAGCTACGTCAAGCATGTGCGTATTTCCGAAGGTCGGGCAAACACGCGATATAGTCACTAGGAGAAACAGAAGTGTAATGACCGCATGGTTTTACGATGCGTGTGCGCTTGAATAGTTCACTTACAGTAAGTCACAGCTTAAGGTAAATGGGTATAATTCACTACCTACCTACTCTTTAGGTTGGGATTGGGTCGGCTTTGTAGCCTGTGTCACAGCCATGGAGGGAGCGGACGGCACAGCAGACGCAGCAGCGGACGCAGACTGCATCGAGTGCGCAGATGGCTGGAGGCCGCTCAGACTGGCTCGGGACTTTTGGATCGCATGCATGTTATATAAACCGCCTATGAGCAGAGGCATCCGCGGGCCGCTGGCGAGCGATCCGGGACTTAGTAAATCGATAAAGCTCAATGTTCCTCCTGTTCATCATCACCTGGACCTTCTAGGTCCTCTCATCAACAACAGCAGTGCAGTAGACCCAACAGGAGCCGTTCTGTGAGCCCATATTCAGAAAACTAAGGGCAGCAATTGACCAAGGTGGGGTTGCCGTACGACGAACTACTTAAGACCCTCCGCTGCCGACGACACGATGAAATGTTAACATGGCGCAAGCCGGACAGAGCCCTGAAGTAGAAACTTCCGTGCCAGAAGGAGACCTGACTGTGCTGCGTGGATGCAGTGGAGCAAACCGACGTAGCCGTGACCCGGTGCCACGACCAAACCGCAACACAAGATGACAAACTAGTGACCTCGACGTAATATTCGATGGCCACAACATCACCACTCTCGTCGACACTAGGGCAAACTGTTCCGTCATCAGTGGGCCTTTCGCGACAAAGTTCAAGAAAGTCCCTGAAATTTGTTAAAGGCCCTGAAATTTGGGCAGCTGGGGGTCATTTAACAATGCCGACTGGTGCTTGCTCAGCTAGAGTCACCATCTATAACCAGACTTATCCCGTCGGCTTTCTAATTCTGCAGCACTGCTCCTGCGATGTGATACCTGGGATGGAATTCTTAAACAGTGCCATCGTCGACCTAAGGTCAGAAGTAATAACGTCGTAGGGCATGCTGTTGGGAAGGCGCGCCTTGAATGTGCTAGAAGATCAACTCACCGTTCCTCCTTGCTACAGCGCTAACATTTCGGTCAACACTCAAGATTCAACAGGCATTCAAGGCGTCACTGAAGGCAACAAGCGTCTGTTGATCAACCGCGAAATTTGCGCTGCCAGAGGAATAGCCGTGCTGCGGGGGAGGTAGATAGACAAATATGTGGGGTTTAAAGTCCCAAAACTACCATATGATTATGAGAGACGTCGCAGTGGCAGACTCCGGAAATTTCGACTACGTGGGGTTCTTTAACGTGCACCCAAATCTGAGCACACGGGCCAACAGCATTTCCACCTCCATCGGAAATGCAGCCGCCGCAGTCGAGATTCGATCCCGCGACCCGTGGGTCAGCAGCCGAGTACCTTAGCCACTAGACCACCACGGCGGGGCTGCGGGGGAGGTAACGCAAGAGTGATGCTCACAGCAACGAGTACAAGCACGTGAGCAAAGATACCACAGTTGCCTACATCAAAGAAATACTAGAAACCAGCAATGCTTTCGTTGTGACCAATTCCGCTGAATTCACTCCGACGACTTGAAGCCCCTCAACCAGCTTTCGACATTAATCCGAGCCTTCCGACGCATGAACAAGAACTGCTCAGAAACCTGCTCCTGAATTACAAGAACTACTTTTCATCATCGTCGAGTATTCAACAGTCCCCCGTCACGAAACATCGAATTACAACAGAAGAAAGGGCCAGGCCACTCCGCCAGACCCCGTACAGAGTTTCGACGTGAGAATGCGAGGCTCTAAAAAAACAAGCCGATGAAATGTTATGCGACGACATCATCCAGCCTTGAAAGAGTCTATGGGGGCATCCCTGGTAGTGTTAGTGAAAAAAAGATGGAACTCTATTTTTCTGCACCGACTATCGCCGCATGAACAAAATCACAAACAAGGAAATGTACCCCCTGACATGGATAGACGACGCCCTATATCGACTTCGTGATTAGAGGTACCTTTCTTCAACGGACCTCAAGACCACCTCTTGGCAAATCAATGTCAACGAAAGAGATTGAGAAATGACTGCCTTCATAGCACCGGATGACCTGTTCGAGTTCAAGGTCATGCCCTTTGGTCTTTGCTCGGCACCAGCGACTTTCCAATGAGTCATGGATACAGTCCTGGCTAGCTTCGAGTTGCAGACATGCATCGTTTAATTGGATGATGTCGTCGTGTTTTCGTCGAGCTTCAACGAACACCTCCAGGGCTTTGAATCCATACTTTAAGCAATAA